GGTTGCTTCGCGGCGAAATGTAATCCGAAGAGAACCAGTAGTGGCATAGTCTTGAAAGCATTATTTGTGCGCTATGGCGGAGTAGTCCTTTGTCTCCTCCATCCGTGCGATAGTGCCCGTGGGGTCTTCTGCGGCAGCTTTGTGATCCTTCAGTATCATGATCATGTGCTCTGCAGCCTCCAAGTTGGCGCCACTGCAATCGACCGCGTTGTCGGGCACGTTCTCGAAACCAAAATACTCGAGCTCCTTGATAATTGAGGCCTTCGAAACGTTCATGGCCACAAAAGCTTTCTGGTCGCGCATGTAATCTAGAACGTATCGGAAGCGCTCGCCGTCACGGTCGATGAATACCTCACTATTGGGGTCGTGTTGCCATGTCTTGGAGATTATCTTCGCCAGCATTGTATCCGGGTATGTTTCGATGAGCGACCGCGATACTTTGTATTTTGTGCCACCAACGTTAAGGCGCACGATTTCGTGGCACTTTCCTTTGCAGCTGACATGGTGCCGTTCTGTTTCGTTGCTTCCTGTGAGCCAAAGCAGAACAGAGGCTTTGCTTCCCAAGCCTGATTATGAGTCGATCAATCACCTCCTTTACAAGTAAATTGATGGGCCGATTGGGTTGCTTGGCGTGGGAATTCCACGCTTCGAGGTCCACGCTCCGTCCATCAAATCACGCCGAGTTGGCACATGCATTGAGAAACTAGAGTGCTATTACATGTAGATCGGACTGCAGAAATGAAGCATGCGATTTCTTCAGGTGAAGGTACATATTGCAAACACAGGTGTCCTAGCTAGCCACGAAACTACATTTCCTCATCCGTTTCGTACGGGGGGTTGTCCGCGCCGCGTTCTCGCTCGTTTTCATTGCTTCAATGTTGGTGGCCCGCCCTGGATCCTCTCTACTAGTACCATAGCTAGTTTCTTACGTTTGGAGACTCGCTCGCAGCCTCGCAGAGTTGTCGGCTCGCTCAGCTCTAGATGGGCCATCATGCTTGTTCCTTTGCCTTTTGGTACGATGAAGTAAACAACAAAAACACCCTTTGTTGCCGCCCTTCCAGCTCGAGGTGCTCAAGGAGCCTGCGGGTGCTCCCTTCCCGCCGTGGGCGAGATCTAGCTACTTACTTTATCTGATGTGTGTCCAACATCAAGAGCTCAGCCAGAACGGCGCATCCACCTTTTCCCTCACCCAGTCCTCCGAATCGAACCATGTTTGCGAAACCGTCCCACTCTGCTCATGATTTACCAAGAAACCTACTGCCTCTTGCTTTTTGGCGGCAACCAATGCACATGCACCCACCGCCCCTGCAGCCCCACAGGTAGCAGATCTCGTCCGATTTATGCATCGCCACCCTTCAACTTACAACTAACTATGCGTAGGACAGCTACTTGAGTATTAATTAAAACACGATGATCTATGACATAGCCGCTGGTTAGCAGCTTTGCCAATTCTCGACAGTTGCTACTGCCCAAATTTTACCACGTAGCTCCACGTCATGCTTGCGAGTACGATTGTGTTAGCTGATGTTATAAAAATCGTTGACTACTCCATGGACCACCATTAGGCCTTAAGCAATGCCTCCACTCACACTGAGTTCAGGAATAGCGTACGCGTCAGCAAACCTGAGGCTCGAAGGGGTTGAGAATGGAGCTGTGCAGGGTGCACAGTTTTCATCAAGCGCCAACACTGCACAGAACGCCGAGAAGATTTACTGGTACTCATTATTTTACCCAGAAGTACAGTACAAAAAGTCTTTTTGTGACCCGCAGGAAAGAGGAAGCCAACCAGTCCTCCTTGACATCATCATCTCGAAAAAACATTTGCCCACAAGTTCCGACCACATCCACCCGCAAATTTTGCATGCGACACCATTTAAAATTTGTTCCCACAAGAGCTATCAATACCGGTAGCTAGGTCATAATCAACGAAAGTCAACCCAGAGAGCTTTGAAACACAGAACCAACAGAGAACCATCAAGTTAGTTTGGTACCGTACCGTAGTCGGGGGCGAGACACAGACAGCTGCACTACCCTTCCTGAGAAAATCATCAGCGCAAAAGAAACACAGCCTTGATATTAATAGAAGCACTTTCAATTTTCGACCAACTCCAGTAAAGCTTCCAGTAAAGCCAAGTAATTTTTCAAGTGCCTTGAAGCACTTTTTGATGTGCAATCCAACGACCATGACAGAGGAAGAAAAGCAAGACAATCAACCACCAGCAGCAACAGCATCATCAACGACGAATCAAGTGATTGTGACGTTTGATTTGCGAGACAGTGGCAAAGATGACAATTACGGTTTGGACGATAGTTCCGTCGGCCCTCGTGTGGCACCACCGGATATCGAAGAAGGTGCTCTGGATCCTTCGGATGACGATTCGGAACTGTCTGCTTTGCCCCGACGATGGTCTGATTTTTCCGGTTTGGACAGTTCTGGCTTTGATGCTTCCTTTGAAGATGAACATGAGCACAGCAGTAGTCTCGGCAACAAAAAGCGACGTGGCGCCAAAAAGGGAGTGCCCGACGAGTCCATGCTCGTCTTGTCGCCACGAGCAGTCCTGGCACGACGCGTCTTGATGATCCTGTACACTTGTTTCGTGGTCCTCGTGTCGACCATTTGCTTTCTGTTGGCGCAAGGTGCCAATGAATGTGTGCAAGACGATTATGCCTTTCCTCCCATTGCGCTGGCACTCTTTATCGCCATGGCATTCTCCTTGATTGGTGGAGTCGCCTATGCCTACGACACACTCCTACAACAACAACTCGTCAATATTCACAAAGCTGCCAATCAATCCAGAGCCATTGTCACTTCTCTCTTCCCCAAACAATTCCATGACCAGCTCTATCGAGAAGCCGCCAAGAAACAAGAACTAGGAGGACTCTCCAGAGAATCTTTTGGATCACACTCTCACTCTCTCGACCCGTTTCCAGCAACGCAACATCACGCTACACCGGGCGCATCCTTTCGCCACGCCAGCAAGAAAAAGGGCGACGCCAGCGAACGAGATACAGATGACGTTCCCGACCTCACATCCAAATCCAACAAGGCATTTGCACCACTTCCCAAAGCCCGCCTCAAGTCGTTTTTGGATCATGAAGGAGACGCCATGGAGAGTGGTCACTTTATGCAACATGCGCGTCCCATTGCCGATTTGTTTCCATCGGCAACCGTCTTGTTTGCCGATATTTCCGGGTTCACCGCATGGAGTTCCGAGCGAGAACCTGTCCAAGTCTTTTATTTGCTCGAGTCGCTCTACAAGGCGTTTGATCGAATTGCCAGGCGTTTCGGAGTCTTTAAGGTGGAGACTGTAAGTGTCTCAAAGCATCCATCGAACGAGTGGTGGAGACAGACTGGCTGGATAGGTTTTGTGGTGTGGTTTTGGCATGCTTCTCACTTTTGTTTTTTTCTCGTTTTTGGTGGAACAGATTGGAGATTGGTAAGTCATAGCAGCAAGAGACAGAGAAAAAATAGAGGAGTTGACAAAAGTCTCACTTGTTTTAAACACCTTGCAGCTACATGTGCGTCACGGGGCTTCCAGATCCACAACCGGACCACGCCACGAGAATGGTGCGGTTCTCACGACAAATGATCAAGCAGGGATTGGAGATTTGTAAAAAACTGGAAAGGACCTTGGGGCCGGATACGGGGGACTTGAGGCTAAGGGTGGGAATGCACAGGTGCGTATGCAGTTTGTGACGACGAGATACGGTAGCCACTGATGAAATACATGATCTGTGCTCACTCCATGAAACGCTGTTGCTGTTTTCACAGTGGACCGGTCACGGTAAGACATCAAACAACACACAATTGCGAGAACAAAAATAGATGTACAACCAGCCAAGGAGCTCACAGACGACAACAACAAACACTCTTGTCGCATTGTAATAGGCGGGCGTGTTGCGTGGGGAGAAGAGTCGGTTCCAGCTTTTTGGTAAGTTTTCTGGAAGGAGAACGAATGAAAGCGAAAACAGAAGCAGCTGAGGGCGTCCGGCTTACAATTTCCTTTTCTCCGTTCTCGTAGGTGACACAGGTACGGCGGACAAAAGTAGTGTAGAAAGAAACAAAAAGAACGAGGAGAACCCCAAGCTCACAATAAACCTGTTCTCGATTCGATTTTTGCTCAGTCAACACTGCTTCCAGAATGGAGAGTACGGGGGAGCGTCATCGCATTCAGCTATCGCAGACCACTGCTGATTTGGTCATTGCCGCTGGGAAGGAAAACTGGATCTTACCACGTCCGGATCTCGTCGAAGCAAAGGGAAAGGGGTAAGTTCTTGTTCGATACAGCATTTAGTATCACTTCGCCGTAGGGAACGAGAAGATGAGGACATGATCTCAAACAAACAGCATCACACAATTCACAGGGATATGCAAACCTACTGGGCCATTCATCACTCCAACAGAGATGCGCGAACCGCCAACTCCGTCACGGGAGTTTCCAGTGTATCTGGAGAATCCATGCGCTCCAGTCTTCCATCGGGTGAGCACGGAAACGGTTGGGATGGTCCTCAGGAGGACGAAAACTTTATCTTGAACTTGCCAACAACCTCTCGAAGTGCGAAGAATGCACGTCTAGTCGACTGGAATGTTGAGTTGTTGGTCCAACAACTCAAACGCGTCGAGGCTCAACGAAGTCCAAATCTTGCAGGCAAGTTCGTGGAAGACCCAATGGCGGTGCTCAAAGACAAGGCCGAAACGCCATACGAAGAAGTGGTGGAAGCCTTTCAAATCCCCAAGTTTGACGATGGGCACGTCTTCCGAGATTCCATGTCCGTCGAATTGGATTCAAAGGCTGTGGAGCAGTTGCACCAGGTCGTCACCATCATTGCCGACAAATACCGTGACAATGCCTTCCACAGGTACGAAAATTTGGTTGTCTGCTTTCCTTGATCATCATGGGCGACTCGCATCTCACTTTGTTTGAAACTCTTTCCCTTAGTTTCGAACACGCAAGCCACGTTACGATGTCTGGTACGTACCGTGCCGTATCTTGGAACCCCGAAAGGCGCCCTTGGTCTTGGCACGCCTTCCATTCACGCTCACTCACAATCGACCCTTCCTTCTTGCAGTGCACAAGCTTCTCAATCGAGTTGTTACTCCCGATGAAGTTGACTATCAGAGGGACGCTGTCGATGCCATTGGTTTGGACGTCCATGTAAGTTTGGAGTTTGCCAGCTGGCGATGGATGTGAGGAAATTATGAGGAAGTCTAACATTCGCCACGTCTCCACGTCCAGAACTATACCTACGGTATCACTTCTGACGCTCTTAGCCAGTTCGCCATTGTCTTCTCGGCTCTTATTCACGACGTGTACGTCTCTGAAGCTGTACAACTTGGATTGCACATCCCCAATGTATGTGGTTGTCTGACACGTTTCTTGGTCTTCGGTATCACTTTAGGGACCACACTGGTGTCAGCAATCCTCGTCTGGCCGAAGAAAATCCTGAGCTTGGAGACAAGTACAAGAATCGAAGCATTGCCGAGCAAAATTCTGGTAAGTTGTTTGCTTTGCGTGTAGCTTGTCCGGAAGGGCCTTTTGATGACTCATGGATTTGCCGCTTGCCTTTGATAGTCGATATTGCGTGGGAGCTTTTGATGCAGCCTCAATACAAAGAATTGCAGCAAGCCATCTTCCGTAGCGAAGAAGAACTTTTGCGATTTCGGTCGGCCGTTGTAAACGCAGTCATGGCGACCGATATCTTCGAGAAGGATGGAAAAGCATTCCGCAATCAACGTTGGGAGAAAGCCTTCCGCTCCAAGGAAGCACACGAAGAGTCTTCTGCCTTTGACGACGAGCAAATCAACCTGAAGGCAACCATTGTGGTGAGTATATTCATACATATCATATGAACAATCCAGACTCTTTTGCAAACCTTACCATACCTCACACGAGTTTTCTTTCGTCCTGCAGATTGAACACATCATTCAAGCTTCCGATGTGTCACACACAGTAAGTCCTCCAGGCAGTACAGGCCGCACGCTGCCACGAACCTGTTGGGACTAACTCAGCTTCTTTCTGTTTGTCATTTTCAGATGCAACATTGGAGTATCTATCAGAAATGGTAAGTCCTGTCCCAGCTCCGTGTCCTTGCTGTTCCTTTCAACCCATAGCTATACTAAGCGTGACCGCTTTGATATGTAAAAAACCAGGAACGAAAAGCTGTTCAGAGAGATGTACATGGCCTTTGATGCAGGAAGGGCGGTGTCAGACCCATCCAAAGGTTGGTATAAGGGAGAGCTCTGGTTCTTCGACAATTACGTGATTCCGCTAGGGAAGAAGCTGGACGAATGCAACGTGTTTGGCGTCTCTAGTGATGAGGTGAGTTGGCCTAGCTAGGGTTGTCTTGGAAGACGTCGCCAAATCCATCATTTCTAAAACATGTGCTCATCTTCCGATTTGGCAACAGTATCTCAACTACGCCGAAACGAACCGCAAGATTTGGGCCCAAAAGGGCGAAGAAGTCGTCAAGGAAATGGTTGACAGGTACCAAAAGCGCAAGGAGTTGGAGATTGGGGGGCTGACAACCGATGAAATCAATGGCTTCTCTGCGAAGGACCTAGAGTACATCATGAAGAAGCTGATCGAGAAGGGACGAAACAGCGGAACGAAGAAAGTGGATGCTGCCAAGGGCCAAAACGACGCAGCTCAGGCATGGATGGATGCCCTAGAGATCTACCAGAGGGCTCCTTCGGCGACCGAAATCAAAGACCGATCCATCATCTTCCCGGTCTACTCTGGAATCCATCCTTGGCTCAAGGGAGGGAAAATCTTCAACGACGAAGAAGGCTTCTTTGAGCAGAATCTTGCTCGCAAGTTCGTACGCGAAGCCAAGTTGTATCGAAAAAATCCAATCCACTACTACCGTGCGTTGAGCATGCTCAGCGAGGTCACCGCAAAGATCCAGGATTATTCTACAGCCATCAAGCTGAGCGAGTTCATCCTGACAATGTACAAGCAAGAAAAGCATTCACGGGAGTTCGAAAAGATGTACGGTGTTGATCGAGCGGCCACCCAATTCGCGAACACTGCGGTTTACCACGAGCACCTGGGGAACCACGATAAGGCATCTCAGATCATCGAATACGTACTTAACACGTTTCTCCCGGGCATGGATCCGACAAACACGTTGGGAAATTTCGAGCTCATGATGCCAATTATTTACGTCCTCCATTTGAGACGGGAAGACAAGAGATGCTATGACGTCTTCAATGACGAAGTCGAGAGTAAATTCCAAAAGCACCATGGCCCGGACGCTTTCACACCCACCAAATCAATCCACAAACCCATACTGTGGCTGTTCAAAATTGCGCACGATCTCGATGGTTTCGATGAACTCGATGGTGTCGTAGAGTACTTTGCGGAGGACGACAAGGGAATGCCCTTCCCTTTCCTGGAAAACATTGTCGTGAAGACAACATGGGGACCCAGTCAAATGTTTGCTGAGCTCTGTCTGTTGGCAGCAAAGAAGCTTGAACGCGAAAATGGGGACATGGAAGTTCGGAACAAAATGCTGCTGAAGGCATTGAAACTGACGAGGATGTCTGACTACAACATCAGAGACAAGAACGGAAACGTGTTGCTTCCGATTGCACATGCCCACCATCAACCAATCTTTGACGAGATTGTCGCGCTGGCCAAGTCAGTAGGGATTTTTGAAGACGAAGAACGGCAGGAACCTACGCCTGGTGTCCAAGTCAAGCTCCCGCAAAGTTACTTGGTAACCCCCACTCCTGCGCTGGAGTTCTTGTCTTAGAGGGGGCTACGGATGCTTGCTTTGTTGTAGGCTATTCAAGTCTAGCTACCGGTAGTGCTACTAGAAGAGGATGCTTCATCTTTGGCTGGTTGGAACTATGTAATATATTTTTAGGTGTTTTTCTAGCTAGGCGTAGATGCATAGTCGTTGATTGCTACTTGCGAGGATTTGCAAGCCTGCTGCTGTCGGTGCTTTTATCCCTTCCACTTTTAGGCCAATCTCACATTGTTGCTCTTCAGCATGGAATCAATACCCTGAGCAAGCTTGGGGTCATCCTTGAGGCTCTCCTGAACAAGAGGCGTCAATCGTCCAGGGTTGCTAGCGGAGAGCTGCTGAATGGCCTGCGAGACAAAGATCGCCGGATCGGGGACCTCTGGAACCGGGTCGACAGCCTTCTTCTTGGCATTCACCAGGCTGGAGAAGTTGGAATCGTACTGCACCTCGCCAATCATCATATCCTCCAGGTCGGCACCTTCGATTCCTGCCGCCAAGGACGTGGTGGCGAGAACACGAGAAATACAAAAGAACATGGCGCACCAAAGCTGAGCATTGTCAACAGGCGTTTCGACAAGCAACTTCGTGAGCCCAACAACCTGGGCTTTGGCATCAAGCCCCTTGGGTGCATCTTCCTGCAAACGCTTGAGCCAGACCTGAGCAATGATATTGACTGCAAGTCCCTGCTGGATGCTATTCAAATTCGTCATGAATTGGGCGGCTCCATACTTGGCAACATAGACGGCAAAATACCGGATGATGTGGTTGGCAAACCGACTGAACTTGACTGGAGATCGTCCCTTGGCTTTCTGGAGCATTGTGAGCAACATGTTGAAGATCGTTGAGTTGTACTGCTGCATGTCATTCGGCGGCACATACATCGCAAGAGAGATGAGCAGGTTGAAGGCGTCCGCCTCGGTCGCAGGAACGGAAAGCATCTTTTGGAAACACCCGAGCATGCCCTGTAGGTATCCTCCTTGAACAAGTTGTGGCGCGGCCTTCATCAGATAGGCTTGCATCAATCGGGTCAGAGCTGGGACGTTGCCCTTGCGTTCCCACAGAGTTGGCGTCAAAAGTGGACGGAACAAAGGTTCGTACTGACCAAGACCTCCATCGGCCGACCTGAATTCGAGCAACTGCGCCAACACTTGGAACACGTAGGGCGTGAATTCGACAATGTCGTTCTGCAGGATGGTTTGGAACGGTGGGAAGAGCAAGTTCTCCAAGGCACCGGTGGCGGTAGGATTCTTGGCGCACACTGCTCGCACCAACACGGCAATCGACTCGAACAAGAAATGATTGAACTGTGGATTGCGAGGATTTTTGGCGACTCGTTCCAACGCTGTTGTCAGCTTCTCAATCACAATCTGGGTGATTGGGACGACATCTTCGTCCGCAACGGACAAGGCTCTCATGACACATTTCATGACGTAATCGTTTTCATTCCACTCAACATTGTCGACAATTCCAAAGAGCGCAGTAAAGAGAGGCTCCAGGAAGGGCTGGAGTTCGGCTCTGCCAAGTTTGGGTTGTTTTGTTGTTGCATCCTTCGCGTTAAGAAGTCGTTCAATCGAGTACGCCGCAAAAGTGTGAACCACGACGACAGGCGATCCCATTTGAGCAATAATCATGGGAAAGAGCTGTACCAGTTCTTGCGTCGAGAACTGATTGCGGAACGTTGTTACAAACTTCAATGCTGTCGCCTTGACCACAGGTCGTGAATCGTGGTTGGCATCTTGCAAATCTGGCAAGATTTGTCCCGCGAAGAAATCCATGAGGTTGACACCAGGATTGGTCTCGGACACACCGAGAGAACTTTCCTTGCGAGCTGCAATTCCCAACATCAAATGGATCTGTCACACAGATGGCAGTGTGTAGAGCAGGGAGATGCTGATGAGTGACTAGCTTCAAAGATAATGGCAACAAATACAATGACGCGACGTGAAATACTACTTGTACGTACCGCTGCATCCTTGGCTCTCCAGTGAGCATTGGGATTGCTGGAATAGTTGGCCAACATCGTCTTGACGTGCTCGAGACAAATGGTGGTGGTCTTTTCTTCGAATTGACGGCACATGGCACGCAAAAGATCCTGACTGCATCGTCGCCTGGACTCGCTGTCGCTTCCTTCCACTTCCGTGACAATGTACTCGCGGGGATCGTCCTCAAAGAGTTCCTCGTCACTCTGCCAAGCACAAGCAAAAAAGGAAATTAGAAACGAATTGCCACAATATCCTCCAGCGTGTCAACTTATGATCATTTATTCAGTTCATTGTGCCTACCTCTCGAAATTGCAAATTGGGAATGACGATACGGGTCACGATTTCTCCCAAAGTCTGATCGGCTTCAAAGAGGTTCTTGTGCATGAGTTTGGAAACGAGCGAACTCAAGAATTTGATACTTGTAGTGGCCAAACTATCGTGTTTGGGTTTGTCCGATACGGTCATGAGCAAATTCCAAACCAACTTTGTGAATTCCGGCAAAAAGGGAAGGAACGGTTCTTCATCCTTGTCGGCGTAGAGTGCCAAATTTTGAATAATGGCCGCCTGTAGTTTGTCAATGGGACCCGGTTCGGTGTCTTCACTGTCGTCAATGACGACGGGATTTTTGTATTGTAGGTATTTGGAGAATTGTTCCATCCATTCCTTCATGTGATCTTCGAAAAATTCGGGTAGATCTTGATAGTTGAGCGAGAAAAAGATGCGACAAATGAGACGAAGAGACTCCAAGCGTGGTGCCAATTGCGCTGGATCATTGGCGTGCATGTCGACCAAATTTCCCGTATCAATGCATAGTTTGAGCAATGGGGCTTGGATGCGTTCGAGGGTGTACTTGATGACACTGTAGAGTCCATCCGAGCGACCCACATAGCGAAATGATTTGAAGATGGAATTGGCCGTCTTCAAGACTCCATTGACGACGGCAGGATCGGTGGAACCGAATTGCGAGACCAACTGAGGAAGTAGATTGTCCCATTGGGCGGGGTAGTCAACTTTGGCAATGAGACTGATGGCTTCCGACAGTTGAGCTTGAATCTGATTGGGTACCGTGCACATGAGTTCCACCAAGTGACCCTTGATGGTGTTTCGGTCCTCCGGGGAAATGACAATGCCATCCGTGCCGTCATCCGACTGCAAATCCCAGCCTTTCTTGATAATGTTTTTGAAATGGACTGCGGATGCTTGTCGAATAGGACCTTCCTGTGGAGACGACGCATTGGCGACAATCTGCAACAAATGCAACGAGTGACCGGGAAGTTTACGGGCTTCATTCAGCGCATTCTCGGCTGGAGCAAATTGACAAAAACAGAAAGGACCAAAAAGAGTCAGCATTGGCAAACATCACAAAATTGGCACTAGACTAACATCAACCTCCATTTAATTTTCACTTACCGTTCTTGCGGACATTGGCGTCTGGGTTGAGAGTCTGTTCAAAGATCTGCTTGAGTTGATCGGGTGTCGACATGGTGATGGAAGGATAAAGAAATCTGTCTTCTCTCACAGCATGTTGTTGTTGTGTGGTGGACCAGGTTTGAAATTGAGAGACGTTGGCAAGCGGGCTTCCTGAATCCCTAACTATCCAGTCACGGATTTCACAAATGGTTTGGGTCGCACCTTTACTCCAAGCTACACATTCCCCTTCTTCGCCAGGTCTTTTTGCGCGGAGGGTGGCAAAGTATCTGGCATCCTTTTTAGTTCCTTGATGTGGGCTGCTCGGTTTATGTATGTTGTGAGCTCTCATTTCATTGCACAGGATGACAGAAAGCAAATCTCTGCCAGTTTCTTGGATTTGATTAAAATTCTAAAGCTACCGCCTAGCTAGCTACCGGTAGACCCGAAACCAGGCAGATACATACCGATACCTTTTGCACCATGGCTCTCAATAACAACTCACCACCGGAACAACTACGTTTGCTGCAAGAATACTGTGGACAAGTGCAAGATGAAAGTCGCAAATTGATCCAACAAGCAAGTCAGCAGCTGGAAAAGCAGGGATCGTGGATGAAAGATCAAAGTCTGAAGAGTCTGCAAGATACTCGCGAGAGACTGGAACAACGACGTGAATGGCTGCAAGATCAAGTACCAAAGCAGCTGAACGTTGCACGTACCAAGATCCAAGACCACGGGAGTACCTGCCTCCAAACTCTTCGCTTGTGGTGGGACAACTTTCGTGCCTGGTGCTCCTTCCAATGGCGCAAGTCGATACGCCCGATGCTAGAACCTTTTGTTCGGTGGTGCACCTTGCAATGGCTCGTGGTCCTCGAGTTTGTCCGGCTCATTCAACTTCGTGACTATCGCTTCCGCATGGACAACTTTATCATCAACTGGAAAGACGAACTGTTCCGGTTGGCCATCTTTTTCAACATCTTCCTCCTTTTGACCCAAGTCACCAACTGGCAGATGAGCTACATGAAGTATTACGCAGGGATTGTGTCGTCACAGACACACATGGAAACACGAGATCTTCCGTTTCACGTACGAAGTCGATCCGCTGCCTTGTCTCGTGTGTCTCCGCTTGTAGTAGACGACGACAAGATGCAGTGCTTGAATTGGAAAGGACCGCCACCGCCAGTCATTGTCAATGCCGCTCCTCCGCCGACAGGATTGGTCGTGACGATGCTCTTGGGAGAGTCGTCTCTTGACTTTGTCTGCTCCTTCTTTCCAGGTCAACTCGAGAACTTTCTTCTTCCTCAAGCATTGGATGTACTCTTTCTTGTACCACCGGATAATACTCCAAGCCATCAGGACGGCGGCGGCAAGACCATGATGGAACAAGTGCTCGAGTGCCTCCAGTTGTCAGACAAGCCAGTGAAGGCAACCAAGAAATGGAAGAATCTGGACGGCTCAACCTTGACGACGTCAGAGTACGTATTGGGTGTGGTCGACCCCAACGACAGTCGCTCGAGTCGATCCATCTCCGTCTTCTTGGGCGAAACGGTCATTGAGTTGCCTCGCTATGTTCGAGAGGATCCTTCCATCCTGCAAAAGCCAATGACAAACCGATGTGATGCACCGGTCAATTACATTTCAGCCACACGGTGGTACACCGACGAGATGTTGCATCTGTCAATTCTCAAGGACTACGAGTATTTTGTCAAAATGGACACAGATGTGGCCTTTGTCAAACAACTACCCTTCAATATCCTTCACGATATGAAACTGCGAGGTGCCTTGTTCGGTCACACGGCCAACTTTGCCCGTATGGCACCACTACCCTGTGGCGATGAAATCACAACGGCAATCAAAGCCTTCCAGTTACGTTGGCTGCACTACGAAGAGGGCGATCGTTTGGCGGCAGAAGAGTTGTTCCCCTTCAAACCCAAATCCAAAGTGACATGGGGCGGGGCCATCTGCAGCAGCAACAATGCTCGTATGCACATGGATACCGACTATTACTATTCCAACCTCATCATTGGCAGAACGGACTATTTCCAAAGAGAGGAAGTTCGAGCTCTGGGACGATTCATGACAGAGTACCCCCATGGCTTTTTCAAATATCGTTGGACCGATCAAAGCTTTTGGCACTTTGCTTTGGGTCTCTTTGTCAACGATTTTGAGGGGGGAAATGTCGTGGCGGATTACACCGATTTTCGCTGTGCTCCGCTCCAGAACTGTTGGTGGAGCTACTTCAACAGAGACCAATTCCCAACCGAAATGGAGAAGTGCCGAAATGGTGGAGCATTCGTGCATTCGAAATCAACACAGAGTTGGGTAAAGGAGTGGTCACAGCTGAATGTGACGTCGTGCCTAGCAATTGCAGAACGTCCTACGATCCCTTATGAGTCACAGTATCGTCATGAATGCCCTCAAGGAATCATATAGCATGATGGATTCGTGCCGGCGTTGTATTCTCTATAGCATTCCCAAAACGGGAGACATTTTATTAAATTTGAATGATTCTATCTTCTCCTACTAGCTAGGTATTTTGGTAGCAATGCTGAGGTGCCATACATGACTCTTCCGTAACAGCCACCATAACGCAAAATGGTGAAACCATTTTGCACTGGCCTCCCACAAAGCCATGCCGCCCTTTCCCCCCGTGTTGGTCCTCAGTTTACATATATTATCTCCCCTGATCCCACGGAACCTAGTCCTGAATTCAACTCTTCTTTGCCTGAGAATGAGCCTGGGCCTCCCTGGCTTCTGTAGATAGCTCCCTACTCTAAACCTCATGCAAAAGAGAGTTATTATGGTGTACTACATGTAGTACTTCATATGCATCCCGTGTCCACGTTCGAATGAGCAGCCGAAGTGAACGATACAATCGAATCAAATCGAATCAGCAATCGAATCGAATCGAATCGAATCATTGGCATGAAATCTTTCTTGAACGCGTGCCGTTGGGGTGCCGGTGACAACTCCGGCAGGCCCAAAAGATTTCGGGAGCTGCCGAAGCGAAGCTGCTTCCTAACCCAGCTGCCAAAGATAGCTTGATAGATACATGTACTGTCAGTCATAGCCACTCGCTTCGTCGACATGACAATGACAACCAGTCCGCCTTCCTGTACGCCTGTGACAGCTACCGCCGTCAATCCTCCAGAGCCCAGCGATATGTCTCGAGGTGATATCATTGCTCCTTCCGATGGAGTGACCTCAACAAGAACCACCACAACCTCTGCCGAGGAGTCATTTGTGGCTGGCTTCACCAAGTGCCAAGATGGACTCCATCAAATGGAGAAGGCTTTCCGTCAGATGGGAAATCGAGCAGGAAATGAAGGAATGGCCGAGAAACTCGAGAACATGGGTCTCATGATGAAGGCCATCAAGCACCGTTTTCACCAACAAGCGAACGAGAAGATCTTGTTGCACCACAAGGATATCTGGGTCGATGGTATCTTTCCCTTTCTGGGCATGGGCCACTATGCCTTCGTTGCTCCCGTCAGCAAGAAAATGAAAAAACTGTACGAGCAGTTTTGTGATGCTGTGGATAACCCTCCAAATATGCGAGTATGGAATGAAGAAGATGATGACTACACCTCAACAATGGAAGTACTCAGCACTTACACGTTTTCCCGTAACGCAGTTTTCAACCCCTCATGTGCAGAATATTGGACAAGATTCCCAGAAGGAATTCGACAGCCAAATGACGATGAGTTTTGCGGCTTGATTGGCAAAAATGGAAGTGTCCCTGTGCTTGACTTTGCTGTTGAGAAAGGATTTCCACTGACTGAGGATGCATGTAAACGTGCTGCGGAACATGGGAACTTGGTGGTGCTCCAGCGGCTTCGGTTCTACAACTGTCCATGGGATGAAGAGACTTGTGCTTCTGCTGCTCTTGGTGGCCACTTGCACATTCTGAAGTGGGCTCGTCAGAATGGTTGTCCTTGGAATGAAGAGACTTGTCGCTTTTGTGCTGCTCGTGGTGGCCACTTGCACATTCTGAAGTGGGCTCGTCAGAATGGTTGTCCTTGGAATGAAGAGACTTGTGCTTTTGCTGCTCTGGTGGCCACTTGCACATTCTGAAGTGGGTCGTAGAATGGTTGTCCTTGGAATGAAGAGACTTGTGCTTTGCTGCTCGTGGTGGCCACTTGCACATTCTGAAGTGGGCTCGTCAGAATGGTTGTCCTGGAATGAAGAACTTGTGCTTTTGCTGCTCGGGTGGCCACTTGCACATTCTGAAGTGGGCTCGTCAGAATGGTTGTCCTGGAATGAAGAGACTTGTGCTTTTGCTGCTCGTGGTGGCCACTTGCACATTCTGAAGTGGGCTCGTCAGAATGGTTGTCCTTGGAATGAAGAGACTTGTAACAAAGCTGCTACAGGTGGACATCTGGAATTGCTGCAGTGGGCTCATGACAATGGATGCCCCTGGGGCTCTGGGGTTTGTTGCAATGCTGCCAGAGGTGGACATTTGCGTCTCCTGAAATGGCTTCGACAGCAAGGTTGCCCCTGGACCGCTTGGACTTGTGACCTTGCTGCTGAGCATGGACACTTGGACATTCTGAGTGGGCCGAATGGTGCCCCTGGGCATTTGGACTTGCAGAGCTGCTGAGCATGGGCACTTGGAGCTTCTGAAGTGGGCCTATCAGAATGGTTGTCCTTGGGATGAAGATACTTGTTACATTGCTGCTGAGCATGGACACTTGAACATTCTGAAGTGGGCTCATAGCAATGGATGCCCCTGGGAAGAATTCTTATGTTCTTCTGCCGCCAGAGGTGGACATTTACATGTTCTGCAGTGGTTACGGCAGCAAGGCTACCCCTGGGACAGTTCGACTTGTGGCGCTGCTTACAAGAATGGACACTTGGACATTCTGAAGTGGGCCCGTCAGAATGGTTGTCCTTGGGGTGAATCTTGTTGGCTTGCATCCAGAAAGGAACATACACACTGTGTAGAGTGGGCTCGTGCACATGATTATCCTAGTCTGGACTGAAATGAAATGCCTCTGCTGTTGCCATTGGCAAGCTTCATTGATGCCAGACTATAATGCTACTCTCAATCCATGTTTGCCTTTATACATTGAACTCCCCTTAGATGCGCCCCGGTAGTAGCTCGAATGGATCATTTGATCGTCCGCCTCATCTCCCTTGTAGATTTGATTGGATAGGTCTAACACATTTTCAAGGTACAAGAAGTTTTGCATTGCCTGTGTACTACGGTACCTTATGACACGGCCAGCCACATAATGAAACTAAGTCTTGTCTGATCACCAATGAGCGCGACTTCTACGTTGCTTTAGATGGCAGCTGGCTGGCTAGAACCCGAACAATCCATTGTTGTCGCCATCAATAAGATCCCCAAGGCCACCAGTAAGGCGATTGCCCTCTCCTGTGCGGCTTCCTCCCGCAGACGGTGCATTGGCAAGGATTCTATCACAGAGTCGCGAAAAGGGCAGAGATTGCAACCACACGACTCCACCCTGGGGTTGATCTGCTGTCAGTGTGCATAGGAACAGCCCTTCTCCACCAAAGAACATTGTCTTGAGACCGGGCGCCATTTGAATGTCGTTATTGATACCCGGATTGGAATATGCTACAAGACATCCAGTATCCACGCGGAGCTTTTCGCCGTACTTGAGCTCTCGCCGAATGACACACCCACCGGCATGGCAAAATGCCATTCCATCGCCTACCAGAAACCACCAGCATCGAATCGAATCACGTGGTAGGATGGTTTGATGAAGTAGTGAGAGACGTTTGTTGTCCGAAAGATAGATGACATGCATGATGTAATCGCAGGTAAGTACCTTTCAGCTGCTGAAGAATGAAACCTTCCCCACCGAAGAGGCCACTTCCCAGCTTTTTGTGTAGATACATTTCCAGTTTGGTTCCCTTGGCAGCACATAGAAAGGCGTCTCTTTGACATATGATCGAAGTGGGCTTATCTGGCATACCGGACGGAAACCGTTGCTGGAGTTCCATCATGTCAATTGGGAGTATAGTCCCCGGATAGGGTGCGGCAAAGGCAGCCTTTCTTGCCGGGGTGCTCCCGGTGTTGGTAAAGTGAGTAATGAATAACGACTCTGAAGAATGAATGCCAAATGTTTGTTAGATAGTGGGGCATTCCGACCAAAACAGGCACAATCACAAAAACTTGGACTGACTCACCACCCGTCAAAAGCCGCCCGGCACCGGCCATGAGTTTTTTGAAGAATCCTTGCTTGGGTTCCGATCCATCCCCAAACTTTGTTTTGAAGTCAATATCGTCTTCGAGATACATCATGGCACCAGCCTCGGCAATGGCGGTTTCCTGTGGATCCAAATGAACCTCGACCAGCTGCATTTCCTGTCCCTTGATTTCATAGTCGATTTTGTGGCAATTCACGGGATCGTGGGCCTGTGACATGACACCTTGGGTGGGACCACCGCCATGCGAGAAACTAGATGTGAATGGATTGGCTGGTGTCGCTGTCACATGAGGAATGGGGGAGGAGGACAATGTTTGGTAGGATGGGGCCACATTTGGATCCTTGTAGGCAGGCGGGGCTGACGGGGGGTAAGCCGGGGCGCGGTTTGTGGGAGCATTGATCGCCTGATTAAATGCAGGCGCTGGAGCAGAAACAGGGACACTACTGGCAGTGGCGGCACTGGAAGGTGTGTAGCTGGTGGCGGCAGTAGAAGGTGTGTAGCTCGTGGCAGCAGTAGAAGGAACGTATCCCCCAGTGTTGCTGGTGTTGCCACTTTGAACCGGACCGCCAGCAGCAGCTGATGGATTGTAGCTCATGGCGGTGGCCGAAGGAACGTATCCTCCAGTATTCTGGTTGCTGGTGCCACCGTAGTTTGTGGATCCAGTTGCCGCAGAGTATCCACCACTCGCCGCTGAGGATGGGGTGTAGGTTCCTCCAGAAGAGTAGCCCGAGGCTGCAGCAGAGGGAGTGTAGCTGTTTGCCGCCGAGGACGGAGTGTATCCGCCTCCGTGCGATCCACCCGCTGAAGCAGAAGGCGTATAGCCACCTGCTGCCGCAGAAGGGGTATATCCACCTGCTGCTGCAGAAGGCGTATAGCCGCTGGCCGCAGTTGAGGGCGTATAGCCGCTTGCTGCCGCTGATGGTGTGTAGCCGCCAGCAGAGGTACCGGTATAGCCACTGGCGGCGGCAGACGGGGTATAGCCATTATTGTTGTTATTGCTGCTGTTGTTGCCGCCCTGTCCTGGAGGGGCTGAGAATATAGAAGGAACGTTAGACATGGTTCAGATATCTCTTGTTTTGCTTTTGTTCTTCAAAGAATAGTAGGATCGATAGATTATGGTATCGCCGTCGCCGCCATTGTCGTCGCTGAAAAAGAAAAAGCAAGAATCAATCAAGAAGCTCTGCAAAGATCCATCTATTCCGGCAGGACTCACTTCGGGAATGAACGAATGAACACCTTGGGTGAAGGGGATGCTGGAAACGCCAAATCCGTACTGGTACTATGCAGACTACGTGCTCAATTCTAGCCAGCTAGCTCTAGCCAGAGAAGCCCAAAATGCTAGACAGCTCTAGAGCCGCACTGTGTGCTGGTTCCAACCCACAGAACTGGCCCTGTGTAGAAGGCATTCCCAACAAGTACGACTGTACGGTACGGTAAGCAAAGTATGCGACATATAAAAATTACCACGCTTTGTTTGGCGCGAGGTTGTTCCCTCTTCTCTACATTTGCATCAAGTTTTTGCAGTCACTCAACGTATTGCCAATTGGAGTCGTAGGCAGGTACCGGTACCGTAGTCCTACATCCAATACATCCAAGATTACAAAGCACCACCAGTGGGACCCAACTCAAGCAAGCAATGCATTTTGAGTTGGAAGTGCAGCCAGAACAAAGTAGAGTTTTGACTATGGGCCTGTGGCACCGGTGTGGTCTTAAATAGCTCAAATCCTACGGGAACTTTCCTTTTGCTTGCGTGCACTTCAGTCTAGTGCCTAGACTTGGGAAGTCATGTGCAAGCAACCAAGCTGCAACATGTGTGTGCCCATTCTCTGCACCAGCCAAAGCACAGCAATCTTCGTACCATGGGCAACCATTGGCACGGGCATACTCTAGAATCTCCAAATGACCATTCGATGCTGCATAGCAGCAAATGTGTTCATCCCAAGGGCATTCCCTGCTTTCCATGCAACCATTGGATCAAAGAAAAGTCACCACGAGAAGCAGAAACACCACATGCATCTGCATTCCAGGGACACCCATTTCATGTGCCCACTTCAGGATTTCAACATGGGGTTTGGGGTGAACCTGATACAGTTCCCTGCTTCGCCAATCGCCTCCGTAGGCAGCGTTTGTGATTGTTGCGTCGTTATGTGCATACTACTGTAGCACCTTCAGGTGCCAATTGCGAGAGGCACGAAATAGGGACATTGAGTTACGTCGCTAATCGCTAACCCTAAATCGACTAAGTACAATCCCGCAGAGCTGTTGACTTCCACCGAACTCCCACAGCCAACCATTCTTGCAAGCACAACACAAAGCACCACAGAGTACGAACACAACCGACAAACTCAAGCCAAGGAAACAGAATCTATCATGGCCCGCCCGGAGAAAGAAGATGACGAGAAGAAGGACGAAGACAACGTGGATGATAAGCAGATGGATTCTTTGTTAGAGGAGGGAGAGGAATCTAAAAAGAAGAAGCGCAAGCGCAAGCGAAAAAGATCCAAGAAAAGTGCATCCAAGGAAGAAGAAGAAAAAGAGCAGGAAGATGCTGCAGAGTCTAGTAACAACAATGTTCGTGAAGACGACACGGTACGAACAGCCTTTGTGGAAGGAGTGCCTTATGATGCTACGACTGATCAAGTAGCCGAATGTTTGCTGAAACATACCAAGATTGAAAGACGCGACATTACCGATTTGAGGTTTCCCACGTGGCAAGATTCTGGCCGAATGAGAGGATACGGCCATGTGGTCTTTACCAGCAAGGAAATCCTCGATCAGGTTCTTGAGGTTGCCAACAACCAAAAAACAAAGCTGTGGATGGGAAAACGATACCTTTCATTGCAAAAAGCCCGTCCCAAGGGTAATGGCATTGATCCAAATACCCAGCACGTCAGCGCTCCGTCCAAGACTATCATGATCAAGAAGTTGGATTATCAAGCCACCGAGGAGGACATTATCCAAGTAATGGAACAATTTGGCACTATTGTTGATGGAGGAGTGAGAATTGCACGCAACTTCAAGACGCGACAAAACAAAGGCTTTGCCTACATTGCCTATGAAGAATTGGCCGGCGCCAAAAATGCCATGGAGCGTCAGCAAAAGCAACCCAACAAACCCATTTGTATTCTCAATCGAGCCTGCATTCTGGATTATGATGAAGGCAGAATGAAGGGATCTTTCAAGACTGCTACAGGCAGGCTATGGAGCCGAGAATACCAGCACCAACAGCCATCATCCAGCGGCACAAGCAACAAGCAAGCCAGGACGAAGTGACCGCTTACACATACCTGCCTTTCTATACCAACGTACATGTAATTTTCATTAACTAGCTAATACCATTGCCTGCCTTTCTGTAGTCAAAGTCATAGAGTGACAGTCCTCTTCTCTCGAGCCGATGATGGCATTTCGTTTCTAGAGGAAGTTGTTACCTTTCTCTAGTCAAGACTCGTACCGTCAGACAGTATTGTGGTAACTGCTTGGTTGCAGAGGAAGGAATTTTGTTTGAGAACGACTTGTAGCAGACTTTAACGCCTGATTCTCTTGCGCGCTGTGAGCTTTCGTTCTTTGCATATTGCCCCCTCTCTACCCTGCAGGCTATGAGCTGGAGTTGGAGGGCATGCCAGCCCATTGCTGTTGCAATCCAGCCAGCAATCCACTGTGCTTTTCTTTTTTTGTCGAGGACGGTGCTGGTATTACCACATGCAGGGAGACATGAGCCCTCCTCATGTACAACAGGGCAAGGAATGATTTTGGGTTCAGACCGATTTTGGGTTCAGATCTGAATTATTTCCTTCAATTTTTACTTTTCATTTCGTTCAAACGGCATCAATCCATCATGCTTTCGCACGTCTCGAGAGCATCCCTCTAACTTTTCTATTTCCCCCCCCCTACCGGTCCCAGGTACCTCCCCCCTTTCCGCCTTTCGAATTCTTTTCTCCTCCCCACTCTCTTTGCCTTTTCCTTGTTTTCTATCCCATCCAGGTAGATGCCCCACACTCTGCATAACTAGCTAGCTCAGCCCCCCCTTCGTTCCTCTTAACCCTCTATGAGTCGAGACTGTGTTTCCTAGTCCACATCAGAGCTTCCACTTCCCACAGATGGCCGATGGTACCAGTACCGCCATTTCTTCCTTGCTTCGACCTCTGCCTATTGCTACTGGCATCCAATGACTCTCGGCAACATTCTTTCCAAGCTTTCCAAATGGAGACGGACGCGACGCACTAAGAAAACTACATCTGCTGCTCGTTCCGATGAAGAACGCCCCTCTTGGCCTGACAAACTGGATCTTCTTCAAGCCAAGGGAGATGCGAATGTAGACCCACCCAGCAGAACCAACACCGACAACGCTCCATCCGACCTGTTATGCTGCGTGGATCTGAAGCTTTGTGAGGAACAGTACTACCCAACGCCACTCGCAGATTATCTTGCCGAATCGTCCTGCAAGCCCTTTGCTTCCAAACGGATTGCTGATTCTCACATTCCCCAACTTTCCTATGCGGCTGGCTCTTGCTTGGAGGATGATGAGGTCTTTTACAATGGGCAAGACACGGGATTGTGGCAATGCGTCCATGAAGCGTGGCAGAATCATTGGAATCTGAGGACCAGTCCGGACGATTGGTGGTTCCCCGTGGCCCGACGAATCGCCAAGGCTCTCACTGCTGTCTCGCGCTATGAAAACTCCATGAAGGATTCCCAGTGGAGAAAACCAGAGAAGCCGTTCGAGACACCGGTCCGTGATTTACTGGTTGGTGACGGCAATGGCAAGCAAGTCATATCCGTCAAAGTCATGGAGTTTTGTCCTCAAGAACACCACCAGACTTCTTTTGAGGCAGTCTTTGACGAGATCCACAAGCAGGTTCAAGACGCCATCAAGTTGCCATTGTTTGCTACTGAAATGAAATCCAGCTTTTCTACTTCCACTGCGACGCATGTGATTGCATCCCAAATCAATCTCATGGAGGGCTTGCAAGAATTCTTTGAGTACTCTGTATCGTACATGGGATGCGGTCTGAAGGGCCTCGAAATGATGGGCACTGTGGAAGATTGGGAGCATCTCAGAGAAAAGTTTAGGCGTGTTCGAGAACTCTTGGAACCCATCAAGAGCCAGTTGGAAATGTACCTCCCGAACGAGTGGTGGGCATGTGTGGAAATGGTCTTTGACAATCTGCTGCTGACGGTAAAGGAGCCGGCGCTGGTGGGAACTTTTTGGCGCAACATACTGCTGCAAGCCCCGCCCCATTGGGTGACAGATTACTACGGCAAAAAAGGGAAAGGGATGCGACATCGGGAACAAGTAGATGCATACGATGGCTGGCTGGTACGGTTCTTGGGAGGAAATACAGATATCCTTTGCAACAACGACGTCCACGACATTGTCATTGATGGGGAAAACCCGATCAACGAGATGAGTGGTTTGTGCCAAGCACCGCTTAAAGTGACTTTGGAATGGTGTGCGCCACCCATCACAGAGGAAGTTCAGTTGATTGGTGGCATCATGGGATTCATCTGCCACCAAGATGATACCATGAATGGTGTCCCAACCCTGCAACCGCATCACATGTGGGCCATGCTGGTGTCGCCTACTTCCAAACTCAGAAATGTGCGAGACTTGTCCATTCAGCATAGCGGTGAGCAACTTCGATTATGAAGGCAACATCATACTTTGAAGGACAAAAACGGCCGAGCATTGGGCCTTGCGTCCCCCTCGCCTGCGTGCCAGGGAAACCTCCTCTGTAACCCAAGCCCACTGTGGGCTTCTCAACCCCCTAGATTCTTCATCTAGCTGGTAGAGTACGACCGATGTCTCATGAGCCAGCCAGGTAAGCTAAGGGTGCAGGTACAGCACTGGTAGAACATATGGCTACATGTTGCCAGCGGACTATGTGGGTAGACACAGCTCGTAATGCGTTATTAGAGCTTTGGTTTCCCCATTTTAGTTGAAAGGAAGGTGTCCACTGTGACGCAATCAGGACGCAATACATTTTGAAACATGCGGCCTTCTTTTCTTCTCTGAAGCTCGGCCCACTGTTCTAGGATAATATCACCATTGTCTCCCAACCTCATGCACGGCAACATGGCAACATAGACTTTCTCTGGAGAGATAGATAGCTACTCTAGCTAGCTGGCTACAGTACCGGTAGCTACTGGAACTGGGCATCTGTCTGTAATTAAGGGGCTTCCACGTGGAACTACATCGTACCGGTAGATATCTGACACCTGGGTTGATGCCAACAAGCTCGATCAGGAAGCTCGAGAGCTGTCGGACTAATCAGCGACTGTCACGCCATATATTGCTTGTAAATAGGTATCAGGCAAGAGATTGATCTTTGGCTGATACGGTAGAACAAAGAAGATGCTTTCACTGCTCCTCCTTGCCGCGACGGCACCGATAATCGCAGGAATCCGAGACGAAATGCCATCACCGGCACTGTGGATGGAGCATCACCGTCATCATGTCTACCAGAAGTATTCCCAACCAATACATCCATCGCCACTACTGATTTCTCTGGATCCGACAAGACCATCACATTCACGTAGATCTCTGATACCGGTACCTTTTGGCTTGACAGACAGAAGACCCACCTCGGCTTTTCTGTTGCTTCGTGGTGGTGGCTCTAATACTCCCAATATCTACGACAGCGACGACGAGTACGAATATGACGATGAAGAGGATGAGATTGACCTGGCACAAGAAGATGAAGCAACCTCCATGCACCAAAAACGTCGCGATCTTCGCGACAATCTCAACAAAGAGAGCCCCTATGATGACCGCGTTCCTCGAAGACCGGCTCCGTACATTCCCAGGAAAAAGAAGAAAAAGAAAAAGAATGCATTTGTCGAACTGGCCAAGTCATCACTAAACTTATCCAAAAAGGCAGCCGTGACGACGGTCCAAACGTCTGGCAAGGCTGCCTATTACCTGATGCGTCCCAAGTCCATAAGCGAGCGCGAAATCTTGGGTGTATGGAGGCTGGATCAACAAGTGGGCATGAAACAATCCACAGCCAATATTGAACTCACATCACGAGGGCAAGTCATTATCCGTAGTGGCGATGATGAGACCATTATTTGGAAAGCTCCCTTTTCTTTTGTTGCCCCGACTTGGCCACAATCTTGTCGGGTGGAATTTGAAGCCCGAGCCTTTCAACCTGCAGGGAGCAAGAAACCTCGGCTTTTCTTTTATAAGGGATACCTAGAGCGCAAAATGGCGGATTCGTCCGTCATCAAGATGTCAGGGATACTTTATGAAATCGAACGACCCAAATCCATGTTTGGACGAAAAGAC